CAGGGCTGCAAAGAGTCGGACACAACTGAGTGACTTAGCACTCACACAATGGAAATGAAAACACAAGTGCATGGTGTAGGTGGGGGGATGGAGAGAACTATCAGTACATCCATGATTAGGGAGATTAATGGAAATGCCATCAGCTACCTGCACCAAAGGCTTAGGACGCGTGCACAGTGCTGAGTGCTTTTACACAATGGCTTCTTAATCCATCTGTGGCTAATCCTTTTGATGCTGATGTAGTTAGCCCTTTTTCATTTTAAGGATTTTTTTTTAAATTATTACAACAGACCTATGTGGTTAGTACTAACATCCTAGTTTGTGGATAAGGAAACTGAGCCACAGAGAAGGAAAAAGACACATCCAAGATCGTCTCCTGCGTAACTGATAAGAGTCGGGACCTGAACTCACATATGACTGACTTCAGAGTCCACATCCTTAACCACCATTTTCTCTGGGTGGTGTGTGTGTGACTCAGTCGCTGTCGTGTCTGATTCTTTGTGACCCCATGGACGGTAGCCAACCAGGCTCCTCTGTCCATGGAATTCTGCAGGCAATACTGGAGTGGGTTGCCATTTCCTCCTCCAGGGGAACTTTCCAACCCAGGGATCAAACCTTCGCCTCCTGCATCTCCCACATTGGCAAGAGGAATCTTTACCACTGAGCCACCTGGGAAGCCCATTGTCTCTGGGAGTGATCCATAAACTGCCCAACTTTCCATCTGTAGATGGAGGGGGCTAAGTCAGTCAGGGACCGGGGCAGGGAATACATGAGGTCTGTTGTCCTACTAAGGCTGTCTGACTCTCTAAACCACAGTGAGACCTGAGAGTCCTTTATGAAGTCCAGTGTGATGGCCTCCAGGGATTCTGTTCCACAGTGACCACCTGAGTCAACATGATCTGCAGTAGCTTGACCAGAGATTCTTTCCCTCCCATGATGAGTGAGGTCTATTTCTTTATCACTTGAATTTGGGCTTAGCCATGAGACTACTTAGGGGCTTCCTTGGTGGTTCAGTGGTAAAGAATCAGCCTGCCAATGCAGGAGACACAGGTTTGATCCCTGGTCCAGGAAGATACCTTGAAGTAGGAAATGGCAACCCACTCCAGTATTCTTGCCCGGAGAACACCATGGATAGAGGAACCTGGCAGACTACAGTCCATGGGGTCGCAAAGTGTCAGACACGACTGAGCTACTGAACAATAACATGAGACTACTTGGTCCAGTGGGACATTATCAAACATGATGCATGAGCTGGATGCATTTGGGATGTCCTCATTTGCTCTTCTTGGAACCCTGAAACCACCATGTGAACAAACCAGAGATAGTCAGCTGGAGGATGAGAAGCCATGTGGAGGAGAATCAAGGCACCTGGGCCAACAGCCAGCTCACTGCCAGTCATGTGAATGGGTCCAGCCTAGATCATCCAGCCACCAGACAGACACAAGCAAGAATCCCTTAATTTTTGTGCCCAGGGCAAGTCCCTCACTTGACTTATCCTAGTCCAACCCCTCAGAGGCAAATCTTCTCTTTCTCATTCTGAGAAGACCTCAGAACCAGTAGGATCCCTACAGATGATCAGAAGTACCAACCAGGAACTCTGCCACGTTTTGAGGTCCCCCAGTGGTGGGTGCCCATATGTATTGTCTATTCACACTGGCACTGAATGGTTGGGTCATCAGCTGGCTTCACCAGGACAGAGCTTGATTCACAAAATTCCCTCAGGTTGCCTAATATGCCATGATGGAGACCTAGAAGGCTGCTAACCACACAAAGATCTACTAATACCCAGATATTCCTCAACTTAGGTTGGACTTGGAATAGCAGGGGGCAGAGGACAAAAAGGACAATTCCTTTTTCACAGACGGAGGCAGTGCTTTTCTACACCATGAGCTCACTGCACACCTGCTCCTCCAGGGTCATACAAGAGGAGGGCACCCCTCCTGATCTGCATGAGCCTCAGAGAGCCTGGCCAGGTAGGCGAACAGGTGTGGCCAGATATTTAATCATGTCTCCAGCCATGGACAGAAAAAAGTCAATGAACCAAGTCAACACAGTTCAGGAGTCTGGACCAATTCATCATCCTCGGTGCCAACCAGCCTTCTTGGAACTGTGTCCAGAGATCGGCTGCCAAATCCTATGCATGCCGGCTGCAGGGAGGACTCCCTGCTCTCCCCATGCCCAAGGCAATGAATGGCTACACTGGTCCATTCACACAGAGCAGGGTCCCCTACAACTTATGGCGCCTACACACGCCTAGGAAGGATGACTGCCAGGTGGCAGGCAGAGGACCTATTCATTCATCAGACTTACCTGGTAGACATCTGTCCTCATTGTCTACCCAGCACACATTCACTGTTACTCATTACCTCTGTCATTATCATCTTCAGTATGGACCAGACACTGTCCTAAACATACACACCAGATACTCCTAGCAAGGTTATTCGGTAGGAACGATTGTTTTATTCATTTTCAACTGAGCAATCTAAAGCATAAACGGACTGAAGTACTTTGCCCAAGGTCAAGCACACCAGAGCCTCAAAATGCTGGCTCCATCCCTAGTGTGAGTTTAACCAGTACACAACACTGCTTCTCTAATTTTCCTCCGAGGGACCGACCGCCTCTCTCCCACTCTCAGACTCTCCAGGGGTAAGCCCCAACCAGGCCTGCCAATCAGCATAACCATCCTCAGTTATATATGACCCGGGATTTACTGAGACTTCAGCTCTTGTCACTAGAATTGCAGCACTGACAAGATCTGAAGACTAAAGTTACCATGGCCAGCATGCTCCCATAGGAGAAAAGCCTTCTTGAAAGAGAAACCAGGACAGAAGAAAACTGAGCCAAGAAGTGGAGAAAGAGATCCCTAAAGATCTCATTTCGGCACCTTGATTCACTGGGTCGAGCTTTTCCGTTTCAGGGACCAAAATTTCCCTTTTCACATAAAACAGTTTGAGCTCTTTTTCCCTCAGGCAACATAAAAAGCCAAGGAATAAAGAGGGGCTATGGGAAACAGCATCCTCCTGGCTGCTCTCTGAGTATCACGCCTCGGTCTGCATGAACATTCAGAGCTGCATAATAGAAGCAGGCTGTCCCCCAAACTTACCTTCTCTCCTGGGGATACAGCAAGGGATTGCACTAAAAGGGTCAGGGAGTGTGATCTGAGAGAACAAAACAGGCCTGTGAGGGTTTTGGTTGTTCTCTGTTGCCTGGAGTTCTTAAACCCAAATAGCACAGTCCACAAGCAGAACAACTGCAGTATCAGCTCTAGAGGGTGCATGGCCTGCCCCTGATTTGCAGCAAAATGGCAGATGACCACTATTAGAACACCAGCAAGAGCACATGTAACAACAGAAGGTAGTGACTACCCACTTCGAGCAAGCTGAGATCAGCTGTCAAGTCTAAGTGATCAAGACAGGACCAGTGGGAGACAAAGCCAATGGGGAAAATTCCAGGAAGGTGAACCAAAGCAGGAGGAAAATAAGAGAAGTAGGGGTGACAGATGCACAGAGGCCATGACTGGGCCAAGAGCAGAGTGTGCATGGTAGAAGGTCCAGGACGGTTTCAGCTGCGTGGAAAAGAATACCCTACACTGGGAGACTTTACCAATAAGAGGTGCTTCTTATCTCACATACACAGTCTGAGCATAAGAGAACTCAGCGTGGGCTCAGCAGTTCATCAATGTCATCCATGACCCAGGTTCCTTTATCTCTTCCACTCAGCCCTGCTCAGGATGTCAGTCATAGCTTTCTCATTGACCCTAAGGGTTGCCACAACTCCATGCCTTATGTGCTCACTCAAAAATGTCCACCAGAACAAAGAAAGGAATATCTTCCTTGATCAGAAAGGAAAGTCTTTCCTAGAAGCCCTGCCCAGACTTCCCCTCGGGTCCCACTGAGCAGAACTGGGTCACGTGCTCACTCACTAGCTACAAAGGAGCCTGAGAAAGAAGCAGCAGGCATCTTCAATGTCTATACTGAGAGGTGGCCTTTGCCAGAAAGAAGAGGGTGAGGGTTAGGAATGGCTGTTGGATAGGCGATCCACATGGTGCCCCAAACTTTAGGCAAACGTGTTCCAAGAATTTAGCCACAGAGCACTCAAACATAGTACTCAGGCTGTCACTCACTTAATATTTTCCTTAAGTCAATTTATCTTTTTCAATTTTTATTTATCTATTTTTGGCCACACCACACAGCATATGGGATCTTAGTTCCCCATCCAGGGATTAAACCGGCGCCCCTTGCACTGCAAGTGTGAATTCCTAACCACTGGACTGCCAGGGAAGTCCTTATCTTTTGAAAGTGAAAGTGAAAATGAAAGTCACTCAGTCGTGTCTGACTCTTTGCGACCCCATGGACTATATAGTTCATGGAATTCGCCAGGCCAGAATACTGGGTAGCCTTTCCCTTCTCCAGCGGATCTTCCCAACCCAGGGATCAAACCCAGGTCTCCCACATTTTGGGCGGATTCTTTACCAGCTGAGCCACAAGGGAAGCCCTTTCTTTTGTTTAACCCTAAACACCTTTACTTAGGTAGGAAATTTTATATTCTCACCATAAATGACAAACCACTACTAGATACATTTTTCAAACCACATTAAAATAAAGCAATAATGATCAAAACAAAGTTTATTTGCCAGTTTTACCCAGGAGCATCCCTCATCCCTCAAGAGTAATCACATTTTGGGTTGAACGGAGCAGGAAAATCTTAATTCCTCCTAATTCTTGGGCCCTGACAAAGAGTTCATGATTTAACCTCTGCCCATCAACCTCATGCTTCAGCCATAAAGATGAAGACATTGTGCTAAATCATAGTAGAGAGACTGGTTTCTTGAAGTCATGCACCCCTCTCAAAATGTTTTGTTTTGTTTTTTCCCATTAAGATGAAAACAGTCTCAGAGGCTGTAGGGACCATGACATCCTGACTTTTTGTCTCAGTATACTCAGTCACCCAAAAGGATGCATTGACTGTGGACAGAGAGGTGACCAGTGCCCGTTACTTACATCAGAGGCTGGGCCCTTGTCAGCGCCCGGGCAGGAGAAGGTGACAAATTCATGGCACCGCTTGTGCACGACAAAACAGCAGACTGCAAAAGAGAAAATGAGGGTAGGAGGGAAGGGAGAGGGGAAGTGGAGAGCAGGAAGGGAGGGGAAGAGAGGAAGACATCATTAGGCCTGGACTTTATACTCAAAGGCTTTATAATCAGATAAACAATGCCTTCAGCTTCTGCCCCTTGTCTTCTATTGAAGTCAAACTCCTGGGTACACTGGTGCTACAACTTGCAAATTACTAATTATATTGACTACTATGGATGACACGGTAGTGATAACTACATTTTGAGAATGTACAGAACAAAAAGTGAACCCTAGTATAAACAATGGCTTTTAGTTAATAACAATGTATCAATATTGGTCCATCAATTGTAACAAATGTACCACACTAATGCAAGCTTCTTTAAAAGTGCTTTACATATATTAATTCACTTAATACTCCTAACAACACTCTAAGGCATGCTATTTCATTTTTTCACATTTTTTAATATTATTTTCCATTATGATTTATCATAGGGTACTGAATATAGTTCTCTTCATTTTTTAATTGACATATAATTGATATAACCTTATATTAGGTTCAGGTGTATAACAGAATGATTCCATATGTACATTTATAAATGATCATCACTATAAATCATCAACATCCATCACCACACATAGTTGTAAATTTTTTTCTTGTGATAAGATTTTTTAAGATTTACTCTCTTAGTGACTTCCAAATAAACACTGCATGCTCAGTCGTTGTGTCCAACTCTTCTGCAACCTCATGGACAGGAGCCTGCCAGGCCCCTCTGTCTATGGGATTTCCCAGCAAGAATACTTGAGTGGGTTGCCATGCCCTCCTCCAGCGGATCTTCCCAACCCAGGGATCGAACACGTCTCCTGCATTGGCAGGCAGATTCTTTACCATTGAGCCACCAGGGGAGCCCAAATATACACTACAGTACTACTAACTATAGTCACCATGCTATTTATTACACCCCCTGAACTTTTTTATTTTGACCACTTTCACCCATTTCATCTGCTCCCCACCCTAATCTCTGGCAACCACCAATCTATTCTCTGTATCCACAAGTTCACTTCTTGGTTTTGGTGTTTTGGGTTTCTTTCTTTCTTTTTTTTTTTAGATACCACATACAAGTGAGTTAACATGGTATTTCTCTTTCTCTTTCTGATTTATTTCACTTGCAAACATTAATAATAGGGGAAACTAGGGTAGAGATGGGGTTGAGGGAATGTACAGAAACTGTATTTTCAATCAATTTTTCTATATGCCTAAAACTGCTCAAAACACCAATAATAAACAAACGAAAACAGAAAACTGCAGGAGGAAAATAGCAGGGCAAAGGAGGAACATAATAAAGAGATTTTAAAAAGGTATTAACTAAACACAATATGTAGACATTGTTTGGGTCCTAATTTAAATAAACTAATAGTTTTTTAATAATTATGAGACAATCAGAAAAATGAATGTATTCATTTTTGATAATATGAGGGAATTTTTGCTATTGGTATTAGGGAATTATAATTTTTTATATAATAAGGGTATTATGATTTTTTGTTATTCTTACTTCTAAGGATATATCCTATAATCTTTATGGATAAAGTGATTCAATTCAAAATAATTCAATATGACAGAAAGGAGACAGAAAGGGTAATAGTTGGGAAAAAAACATTAGTCTTGACTGATTGTTAGTGAACCTGGAGGAAATTCCCCGGTAGTCCAGTGGTTAGGACTCCATGCTTCCACTTCCAGGGGCTCAGGTTCAATCCCTAGTCAGGGAACCAAGATTCCACAAGATGGCAAAGCTAAAGAAAAGAAGAAAAGTTCCAAAGGGGTCAATTTCTTTCCCCTCTTTCTGTTATTATTTATTGCATTTTGTAAGTAATATATGCTTTGTATAAAGACATCTGTGTCAAACAGCATATATATGTTTGTTGTGAATGGCGAAGTCCTCTGCACCTATATGTCTGTGAATGTTGAGAGTAATATATGAGCAGTGGCCAAAAAATGCCAGTGATGGTTATCTCTGGGCAAAAGGACTACAGATTATTTTTACTATACATCTATACATCCCTTACATCTATATTGTTTGAAATGTTGACAAAAGAGTATATGTTAATTACAGAATATCAAGGGAAATAAGCCTACTTTCATTTTGAAACTAAGAGTTAAAGAAAAACAAAGATCAGGAAATGAAAAATACGATTGCCCAAACTGGAAATTCAGTGGTTGGGCTGATACAAAATGGAGGACAACTAAAGAGGAACTTAGCAAACTGCAAGTCTAATTTGAGTGATTTCCCCAGAATTCTGCGAAAAAAACAAGAAAAAAGAAAAAAAGCAAGAAAGAAAAAAAGAAATGACTCAAAACATGTAGAACAGATCTCAAAATTGTAATATCTATACAAAAGGATGTCCAGGAAAGAACAGAAAGAAAAGTAAAGAAGGTGTAACTGAAGAAAATGAAAGGAAATTCTCTAAATATTAAGGGGGATTTGAGCCATTAAATGGAAAGAAACTATCAAGTGTCAATAGATATGAATAAAAAGAAAAATGACTAACAGTGAGAATTACCACAGCTCAGATATTGCTGTGAGGACGTGTCCAGCAAGGATAGGAAAAGAAGACAGGAAAGTTACTGACAAACGAACAAAAATAATTTTAACATCAGATTTCTCATCTGCAACTCTGAATTCTCGGATACAATGGAGGCACTTCTGACTGTCAAGAGTTCACCTTCTAAGGCAGGGGGTGTGAGTTCAAGCTCTGGTTAGGAAGCTGAGATTCCATATGCCTCGCAGCCAGAAGACCAATCCATAAGACAGAAGCAATACTGCAACAAATTCAATAAAGACTTTTAAAATGGTCCACATTAAAAAAAACAATCTTTAAAAAATTTAACTAAATTGATTGTGGCAATCATTTTTTTAAAATTATAAACAAAATAGAATACAGTGGAGCAACATGGTCAAAGTTTTAGGAAAAGTCATTTCAACCTAAAATCCCATACACAGCCAAGTGAGCATTCAAGTGAAAGAACAAAATAAAGACATTTCCAAAATACAAGAACTCAGAAAATTTATTTCCCACAAAGTAATAGAGAATACACGGTCCACAAAAAAAGCAACAAAGTGAATCAAAGAGGTATAAAACAGTGGTAAAAGAACAAAAACAAAAGCAAGGTGAGCGTGGGGGAACAAGTTCTAAGAGACAGAGATGGGAAAAAGACTATAAAATTGCAACATGTTAAGATCTTTGTCTTATTCCTCAGGAGTTAATAGGTATGGAGAAACTGCATTTAGGACATTGTAAGTTTAAATAGTGTGCTAACAAGAATAACTTGCAGACTACCAAAAGAAAAAAACTGGACAAAGACAACTTAGTCCAACTACACTTCAAAAGGCCTTCCCATATGATCCAAATTCCTATCAATACCATTCTTTTCTCATTACTTTTATCTGGCATCATATGCACTTTAAACTTTCATCAATTTGTAATTTTTTTTTTTTTTGTATCTGAAATGACATGGGAATTTAACTTGCCATTTTTTCCCCAAATAGGTAATCAATTGTGCCAGCATTTTTTATTGAATAATTCATCCCCTCATCACTGATTTCAAATGCCAACCTAATTATGTACTAAATAATTATATACACTGAGGTCTGTCTTTGGGCCTGCAGTTTTGTTCCACTGATCTGTCTTATAAGAAAGCAATATGGGATTTAATTATAGTAGCTTTATAATATGTTATATCTTGGCAGGGCAAGTCCTCTCTCATTATCCTTATTTTCAATATTCTCTTGGCAATCATTCCAAGTTCCAAGTGAACTACAGAATCAGTTTATTAAGCTTTTAAAAATACCAATGGAATTTTTATTGCAATTGTATTTAGTCAGCTCCCTACCCTCACCCCCAGAAAAAAATTTATTGGATCTTTGATAATTGACACTTTCATAACAATGAGTACTTCTATCAGGAATAGAGTGCCCCCTGTTAAAATTTTATTTTATGTCTCCCAGTAAAGTATTTAATTTTCTCTATGCCTGTGTGTGTGTGTGTGTGCTAAGTTGCTTCAGTCGTGTCCGATTCTTTGCAACACCATGGATTCTGTAGCCCTCCAAGCCCCTCTGTCCACGGAATTCTCCAAGCAAGAATACTAGAGTGGGTTGCCATGACCTCCAGGGGATCTTCCCAATCCAGGGATCAAACCCATGTCTCTTATGTCTCCTGCATTGGCAGCTGGGTTCTTTACCATTAGCGCCACCTGAAAAGCCCAATTTTCTCTATATCTACATATTTCTAACTTAGTATTATCTGAGAAGTGCTACTTCTCTGCTATTGTGATTTTGACATCTTTTCCATTTTGTTTGCCAAGTGGTTATCATTTACAAATAGGAAAGCGATAAATTTTCAGAATATTTATTTTCTAAGTATTTTTAAAATTCATGAGAGTTGCTGTGGGATTTCAGTTGCTTCCTTTGAGTTTTCCAGGTAGAGAACCATATTATCCCCAGTAATAACATTTTTCTTTCCTCCTCCCTGATAGATATGCCTCTTGTGTTTCCCTTTATAGGTCCATATGTAAAATTTCCAGAACAATGTGGAATAAAAGGGATGATGAGCAAAGAGTCCTGTCCTGCTTGGAGCTTTTACCAGCTTCGTTTCTCCCTCACGCTCTTCTCAAACTAACTTTGGGAATTTATATTTTCCTTTGGAATTATTCACAGTGTTCTTCTCCATGTGTTTCAACTGCATCATCTTATCTGAGATGGTGCCATGCCCTCTCTCAAGCTTTCCTCTATTATATTGTTGGGGAGTCTCTCTTTTTATTTTTTTCAGAGGTTTATCTTCCTTAGTGTCCATTTTATTATTCTTTCATTTTAAAGAAGCAAATGATGGATATATTTCTCAATTCTGCTGTTTTTTTCTTACTTGATTGTTAGTTTCACTTTTACTTGTCCTACTTATTTTATTTGTACTTGTTCTTGTATTATTTATCGGGTTGCAAGTATGAATTCTGGAGTCAGAT